TTGGCTACGTCTACACTGGCCCCTTTTCCGGAAGGGGCATGTAAATTTCACCAGTCGTCGTAGGGAAATCCGCGGGGGATTTAAATATCCCCCGCGGCATTTAAATAAAAATGTCCACCGCTTTTTTCCGGCTTTTAAAAAAGCCGGAAAAGAGCGTCTACACTGGCCCCGATCCTCCGGAAAAAGCGCCCTTTTCCGGAGGCTCTTATTCCTACAGGAATATTTAAATCCCCCGCGGATTTCCCTACGACGACTGGTGAAATTTACATGCCCCTTCCGGAAAAGGGGCCAGTGTAGACGAGCCCAGTGTGTCGTGGGGACAGGGCACAAGCCGTGGATGTCCAACCTCTGCCATCTGTTATTAATGGCAACTAGATAGAGTGTGGGAGGGAAAAATCTGATGAAGCGGGGCAGTATAGGAGGGGCTGGGGCAGGAGAGCACTGGGGGTAGCATGGGAGGGCCTGGGGCAGGCAGGTACTGGGGGCAGTACGGGACAGGTTTGTGTTGCTAAGGGCTGTGGGAGTATGAAGGCAGAGCAGTAACTCTGGGGCTCAGCTTAAGTCCTGGAGTCTCTGTCCTCGACTTACCATGATGTATCCAATGGCTCCTTGGTCCATGGTGATGTCCTTCCCATAGACTGTGACCCGGACAAGCCGGGTGCCAGGTGCCCCCTGTACCACTCCTGGCTTCTCACTCTCTGCCTCCACCCGGAATGGTGCCAGGCCAGAAGGCTGGTGAGGGGCGCAAAGCTGAGACAGCACATGGGTGCAAGCCCCCTGGAAGTGGTAGCGTCTCCCATCGAAGGTGGTGTAGTGCCGGCTCCCCCATGCCTGGCAGGATGCTCGGTTGATGGGCTGACATACGTGGTACCAGGAGACTGGATGGCAGACCTCATCCAGTGAGCAGCCCTGTGCTTGGCATGTCACCCCATCGTCACCATACATGCACTGGCACCTGTGCTCACACCTCTGGTTGCTCCAGAAGAAGGTGCCGGAGGGCAAGAAGTTGGCTGCGGGAAGAGAACAGGAGACATGACTCTGTGCCCAAGATGGGGAGGCAGCAGCTCTCTGGGCCAAGGTGGAGGGAGACACACTTTGGAGCTGCAAGAGATACGGTTAAAGGGAAGGATGGGGGCTGGTGCTAAAGAGAGTTGGGTCTAGCAAGGTGGATGGGCTGGAAGGGAACAGAGATGGGGTGAGCAATTGGAGGGGAAAGGGGAAGGGATGGGCTGGGACGGAGGTGCTAGGTGTCTTGGAGAGAGACGTGCTTCTCTAGGCCTTACAGGCCAAGGCCCAGAGACCAGGCTTCCAAGCTTCATGGAAGTACTTGATGGTCTCAAACAGGATCTGTGGGTCAGAGGGAGATAAGAAATAAGATGGGGGCCTTAGCCAAAGCCAGTGCAAGGTGCTGGCAGTAATATATACCTGAAACCCCGTAATCTGGGTGTCCTTAATCTGGGGACACCCATGGTTCAGACCCTGGCAGCAGGAGGAAGAAGCAGCTCTGTGCACTGCTGCAGGACGTGCATCTGACAAAGTGGGTCTTTGCCCATGTATGTTTATGCTCCAGTAAATCTGTGCGGGTATGTCTACACTGCAAAGTTAATTCGAAATAACAGCAATTATTCTGAATTAACTTTCCTAGAGTCTACACAGCCAAATCGCTATTTCAAAATAAATTCGAAATAGTGGAGCACTTATTTCGAATTTGGTAAACCTCATTCTACGAGGAGTAATGCCAAATTCGAAATAGACACTTAATTCGAAATAGGGGGCCTCCAGCCCTTCCCAGGGAGCCCTGGTGGCCACTCTGGGCACAACCAGGAAAACTTACTCTCCTCTCCCCAGCCCTGGAGCCATTAAAGGGGTAGACCCTGGCCACAGTGCCTGTGCCAGCTCCAAGCCTGCCAGCCCAGAGCCAGCAGAG